TACCTCCCTTTAATTGTGAACTTGCAGAATCTTGGTGAAACTGGTCCTCCTTTTCTTGTGACTCTTAATCCAGATAAAGAGCCAGAGAATATCTTGCTTAAGTGGTCAACTGGTCACCCAATCCCATCTGTAGCTGCATCAAAAGCTTCAACTGAGCTTGATACTATTCAAGGAAAGAGAAAATTTTGGTTTTGTGGAGCATATCAAGGTAAGATTACTGCATTCTAAGTTTAGAAAGGGTGTTTATTTAATAAAGAATGGAATGTATCAGAATCTTGTCTTGTTAAAATTGATTTATGATGAAAAGATAAAAAGTTACATCATTCGGAGAATACAAATCATTGGAGTAGGTGTTCATGCCTGAAGTTTCAACATATTTTCTTTTACCAACATCTTTGGACTCACCCATCACCAGTTCCATTCCACATGCGCATGTTCTCACTGATTTCTCTTTACAATCATATTTCTTGTTCTAGCTTCTCTCTTACTAATCTTATAACAGCCTTCCGGACTTCCCCTCAAAGTTTTTAAAACGCGTTTGCTGGAGAGAGGTTTCCACACCCTGATGAAGAATGTTTCGTTCTCCTACCCAACCGATGTAAGATCTCACAATCCACCCCTTTCGGAGCCCTGCATCCTCGTTGGCACTCATTCCCTTCTCCAATCGATGTGGGACCCCCCAACCCCCCTCCCCCCCTTCGGGGCCTAGCATCCTTGCTGGCACACCAGATCGTGTCCACCCCTTTCGGGGCTCAGCCTCCTCGCTAGCTCTGATACCATTTGTGACGACCTAAGCCCACTGCTAATAGATATTGTCCTCTTTGAGCTTTCCCTTTCGGGCTTCCCTTCAAGGTTTTTAAAATGCATATGCTAGGGAGAGGTTTCCACACTCTTATAAAGAATGTTTCGTTCTCCTCCCCAACCGATGTGAGATCTTACAAATCTATCTTCATAATTCAAACACTCTCATTCTAACATCCGGACTTTCAATCATTTAATCTACACATTTCTTCACTAAGAAGTCTCTCATCACTTACTTTATCACAATACCAATCTTTTTCTCACTAATATATTTGAGCACATACATTTTTGTCCAAACACAGTGGTTTCTATTGCACTATTAGTTTGTGCGCATGCATACAATTTTATAAATTATCAGGGTAGATTAGTTAAAGTACATTTAGTTTAACCTTTTATAATGTGCATATCTGAATCAAACATGCCTGATGAAACTACATTCTAAAAGATAGGATTTAGCAGGAATATAAATGAATGCCCCCAAGTTTCAAATGCTGCAACATGCATCCTCATCCTAAAATATGACATGCTTTGATGTTACAATAGGAGTCTTATTATTTATGCTACTTCTTTTTAGGTTATGGCTTCCACGAGGATGGGTTAAAGGTAATGATCATTACATAATAATTTCCTTAAGGGTGTCCATGTGCCTTTTCAAATTTGAATATCTCAATGGATTTACAAATGAAGTCTAAATATTTGCAGGCTGGTGTTATGGCAGCACATAATATGTTGGGAAATAGTTTCACTCTTTTAAGCAACCCAAAACACATGGTGCCTTCGCTAGCAGATACAGGGGCACGCTTGTTTGTAACTAGATTTCTTGGGCAATATATAACTTCAGGATCATTAAAGTAAGCTTATGTACAACTATAATCGTATGCTTCTCATAGTGGTTCTTTTATTTCTAGTAATCTCAATTGATATGTTTTGTATCAACGCAGCTTAATGGAAGAAGGGGGCACAATATTTACCTTTGAGGGAACAGATAAAAAATGCCTTCCAAAAGTTGCTTTGAAAGTTCACAGTCCCCAATTTTATTGGAAGGTATGCAAGTCTAACGTCTGCTTGACATATATTTGAACTGTACTGATGAAGTTTAGCAAAGAAAATGATTGATTGGAGCTCATTCTCCATGAAGTACTCTCCTTTAGTTCCTGTGAGATCCCACATCGGTCGGGAAGAGAACGAAACACCCTTTATAAGAGTGTGGAAACCTCTCCCAAACTGACGTGTTTTGAAAACTTTGAGGGGAAGCCCAAAGAGGACAATATCTGCTAGTGGTGGGCTTGAGTTGTTACAAATGGTATCAGAGCCAGACACCAAGCGATGTGTCAGCAAGGAGGCTGAGGCACGAAGCGGGATAGATTTGGTGGAGGTTCCACATCGATTGGAGAAAGGAATGAGTGCCAGCGAGGACGCTGGGCCCCAAAGGGGGTGGATTGTGAGATCCCACATCGGTTGGGAGGAGAACGAAATACCCTTTATAAGGGTGTGGAAACCTCTCCCTAGCAAATGCGTTTTAAAAATCTTGAGGGGAAGCCCGAAAGGAAAAGCCCAAAGAAAACAAAACCTGCTAGGGGTAGGCTTGGGCTGTTACGGTTCCTAAGTCTTAAGAATTCATTTTGGCAGATTGCGACACGAGCTGACTTAGGCCTCGCGGATGCATATATCAATGGAGACTTTTCTTTTGTTGATAAAGATGAAGGTCTTCTAAATTTTTTCTTGGTAAGCTTTTCTGATTTGAATCTCAAGATAGTTTATCCTCACAGTAATTTGCACAGACTCTGTCATGCTGATTTCTTCTGCAGATTCTCATTGCTAGCAGAGATACAAATTCTTCAATTGCAAAACTAAAGAAGAACAGGTATATATAATGGGGAGAGCTGCCATTGGCTCCATAGTTTCATTTCCTTTGAACTAAACATTCACTTACATTTTTCAGGGGATGGTGGACACCGCCGCTATTTACTGCTTGTATTTCATCTGCAAAGTATTTTTTTCAGCATGCTTCTAGGCAAAACACTCTTACACAAGCTCGTAGGAACATCTCCCGTCATTATGACCTGGTATTCAATAGTTTTCGATGGGCTCTTTTGCCTCTTCTATTTTTCTTCCTTTTTAAGAAAGCTTGATAAGAAAACCCATGTCTTTGGATGGTAAAAGGTTGAGTTTCTTGATCCTTCATTTGATATCATCACTTTCCTTTTGCTATTATAATTTATTAGCCTTCAAAAAGAAGCTCAGATTCGTTGTTATTTTGCATCATTTTTCTTGAATGACTGAAAGATATCTGCTTCCTTTTTGCTCTACAGAGCAATGAACTTTTTTCTCTATTCTTGGATGACACAATGACATACTCATGTGCCATCTTTAAGGTCTGTTTTTTAAACCATTTTCTATACACTCTTTTATGATACATTGTTACAAATATGTACTAATCTTAGTTTTTTATCTTGTTTTTGTTAATAGGGAGAGAATGAAGATTTGAAGGTTGCACAAATGAGAAAAATCTCTCTTCTCATTGAAAAGGTGATTCTTTTAGCTACAATTCGAACTGAAGTTAAGAATGATTAAGTATTCAAACTTTTTTATGTCTTAATTCTTAGGCAAGAATCAATAAACACCATCACGTATTGGAAATTGGGTGCGGTTGGGGTAGCTTAGCGATCGAAGTTGTCAAGCGAACTGGATGTCGTTATACTGGTATTACTTTATCTGAGGAACAACTAAAATATGCTGAGAAGAGAGTTAAAGATGCCAACCTTCAGGTACAGTTCACATACTTATTGAAAATTGTTCTTCTTCCCAACTATTGTTAATGAAAACATTATCTGTGGTATGGTATGTTACTTCTTATATCTAGTTTTTACTTTGATTCTAGGATCGCATTCGGTTTCTTCTTTGTGACTATCGAAAATTGCCCAGTACCGAAAAATATGACAGGATCATATCATGGTGAGTTTCATAATATGAAAAAGAATTTATTTGCCATATGTATGAATTAGTACTGTGATGATTCTCTTTTGTACTGCTTCAGTGAGATGATAGAGGCTGTTGGCCATGAATTCATGGAAGACTTTTTTGGTTCATGTGAATCAGTATTAGCAGAAAATGGCCTTTTTGTTATACAGGTTGGAAGCTTTGATTGTTATAGGCATATACAAGTTAAATGCTAACATATCTTTGGTCCTGATACTACTTTTGATTCTTTATTAGTTCATATCGATACCCGATGAACGTTACGATGAATACCGACTAAGTTCAGACTTCATAAAAGAATATATATTTCCAGGAGGATGCCTACCATCACTAAGTAGATTAACAACAGCCATGGCTACTGCATCAAGACTCTGGTAAGTCAAGCTTTTATTAACTTGTTAGAGTGATTTCTCTCTCTTTGTTTTCTTACAAATTAAATTCCTTTTGCAGTGTGGAACATTTGGAAAACATTGGGATTCATTACCATCAGACTTTGAGGTGTTGGAGAAAGAATTTCTTTGAGAATAAGAGGTAAAAAGCTTTATTTAGGGAGATTCATTGCCATCAAATGTTCTTCAAGTTGAAGTTCTTATTCTTTTACTACACAGCAAAATTCTTCAACTTGGTTTTGATGAGAGGTTCATACGGACTTGGGAATACTATTTTGACTACTGCGCTGCTGGTTTTAAATCTCGCACCCTTGGCAATTACCAGGTACATAGGTCAAATATCATCATAAAATCACTCCAAGTTCTATGATTATATACATCTGTAATTGCAATTAGAGCATTGAGCAGAAAATGATAAGTGAATTTGATTGCAGATTGTATATTCAAGGCCTGGTAATGTAGCAGCATTCAGCAATCCATATGAAGGTAACCCAGCTTATTAAATTGATTTGATCATTCTTTTCAATTTGGTCAATGAACAAAATTGTATTTGTCAATTAATTCAGCTAGACAGCAGCTACAAGATACATGCATTAAGCTCAACATTTCATTGTAACTTTTGATCCAATTTCTGAAGGAAATGTTCCCTTTTTGATATCTACTTAAGAGGGCAGAAAGATTGAACTTGATATCAATGACCTGCCAACTTGATATCAATGCTCACTTTTCCTCCAACAAGAAAAGAACATTAACTAGCATCTACAAAAGAAAGATTAGATTCATAATCGCCCCCCAACAGGATCGAAAAACAGTTAAAAAAAACTTCAAAGGAACAGCAGAAAGACCATTATATTCACCTAATAGCAGTTCTAAAACCGAGATCTTTACGACTAATCGTCGACCTTGAAGCAAAATAGCAAAGGAATATATTGAACCAGTTGCTACTTTACCAACAGGAAAAGGTAACAGCAGAAGCATTCTATATAGGCTAAATCTACATAGGCTATTGTTAGCTAATTATTAACAGAAGAGAAATGGCTAAGAAGCTTTAAATCAATACCTACTAATAATTAACACCGAGTAGCCTACATAACCAAGTCTTGAAGGAATGGATTCAATAACCTTGAGAAGAATTACTATGAACTAATGACTCACAATGCCAGAGATTTGGAATACTTGATAGTGTTGGCAAGGCCTTGCAGAAGAACATATTCGGTTCCGGGGGGGTAAATCCAATATTTCAACCGATTAGAGGTCCTCCCTCGAGTTCCATAAATGCTGAACACACACATCCCGAACACGGTCCTTCACTACGAAGCCTGTGTTCAGTCATGAGTGGACTCTCTCGACTCCACTTTTACAACTCCGGGCATCCCTCCTGTAACACAAGGGGAAATAGAGGGGGAAAATGATTATGCCATTGTTAAAGAGCCAACTACGACTACGATTAGGTCTAACCATACGAAGTGATCGACCCAATAGTGAGGCCTCCAACACTATCATCTATCACTACAACTCTCTCTACTCTACACTACACTACACTACACCTTTTGTATTCCTACTTGAAATGTAAGATAAAGAATGAAACATCTATCACCTAGTTCTTCATACCGTCTACGACTGATGATCTAGACGATCTAAACGACAAGAGAAAACATAAAAAATATCTGAATATATAAGTAGGAAACAAATTGTTACAACTCAAACAAAGTGAAAAGATGAAAATCGATCACAGATAGCTAAAAAAGACATTCATAAAGAGACCAAATTTAACTACGTTCCGCAACAAAATACTAAATAACTGAAGCATCATCGAATAAACTTCTAAAACAGCTACTTATTTTAGACTAGAAAAATTAATACTGCAAGCTACTTGGATTCAAGCAACCCCACCAGGCTCATTGTGTTACAAATCGGGCCACCGTTTCAGTCAGCAGCAAGACAACCTCTTTTTTTCCATAAGCAACTCGAAAACATCGATCTCATAAAACAAACACGGATACACAGAACATGGCACGATCCAGTTCACTTTTGATCATTGAATTACTGTTGTTGGGCTTGCCGAGCTTGTCCACCAGCATAACCACCTGTATAACCTACTTGTCCTCCATCAGATCTCCATGCAGCATTTCCATAACCAGTGTTGTTTCCATTAGCATCCCCATAGCCATTTCCCATGTAACCACCACTGTTCCCTTGTATCTCTCCCCCACTTGGACCACCCCCGACGTTGCTATTTGAGGCACTACCAGACCGTCCTCCGCCTGTACCATAACCAGATTGACTCCCATATGAGCCATCGCCTCCACCGTAACCATAACCTTGATTACCAAGCCCACCATATCCATAACCCTGGTTTCCATACCCAGCAGCTCCGCCAGGAGAATGACCAGTGGGTGCAGATCCAGGTCCTCCACTGCCAGCTCCAGCATTGCCTCCGGGAGCACCACCCCAAGGAGCAGCATTACCATAACCCATGGCTCCATACCCAGAGGGAGCTTGAGTGGACCATGAACTTCTAGGTCCACCTTGAGGACCACTCCCATAACCAGCATTAGCAGCATTCGGGTTACCGTAGGCTACAGCTGCAGGGGCGCCATACCCAGTATTCGAACCACTGTAATTTCCATAACCACCATATCCCATGCCATTGTTCGATGAACCATACCCATACCCAGGATTACTATATCCAGAGGAACCATAAGGTGGGAACCCTCCACCAGAGCCCTGAGATTGCATATACCTACTCGAATCCATATGACTATCATAAGAATTCGAATTAACACCACCAGAAGACCCATAACCTTGATAACCACCGCCACCCATTGAACGACCACCCGCACCTGGATTAGCATCTTTAGGAAGGGCACGCTTAACTTCTACTTGTTTACCATTCAAATCATGAAATGTCTTATGCAAAACCCTGTCAACAGCTTCTTCAGTATCAAACGATATAAATCCAAATCCCCGTGGACGCCTAGTATTTTGATCATACATGACTACGACATCGGTTACATGGCCATACGCCTCAAAGTACTCCTTAAATCCTTCTTCAGTTAATGTTGGAGGCAATCCCCCAACAAAAATTTTTTTAGTCCTCATGTTTCCTCCACCACCACCACCACCAGAATTCCTAGTAGCATTAGAATTGCTTGCTCTAGCAGGGGTCTGCTGTTCTTCCCGTGATAAGGCCCTCTTGGCCTCAACCTATAAAATAATATAAATACAAATGCTAAAATGTAACTAAACAAATATGACTACAGAAGATTAAAGTATAAACTCCACAGATTCACAGCAACCCATTTCTGATGTTTCAAGATCATATTGGAAACATAAACTACGCTGAAATGAAATTACAGAACAACTCCAACCCTTTTGTCAATCCCTCGCCTGATGAACAGAACAATGCACCAACCAGAATCATCGTAAAAAAGGGCCAAATCAGAAATCAAAAAGGCCAAAACTCCAAATATGGAAAGAAGAAAGTAAAAGAAAGGGATTCTGACGCACCGTTTTACCATCGATGGTGTGCTTATCCTGAAGAACTCGATCGAGAACAGAGGGATCTGAGAAAACGACGAACCCAAACCCTCTAGGTCTGCTAGTGATCTTATCCCTCATCACCACCGTATGCATCACTTCACCATAGTTGCTGAAGTAGTCCTTAAGCTTATCCTCGGAGGTTTCCCATGAAATTCCACCAATGAAAAGCTTCCCCTGATCCGAATCCATTGCCCCTTTCCCTGGTTTTCACGAGATACCCAAATGAATGGAGGAATCGATTCGGGTGTTCTTCCTCTCAGCTTCGGTCTGAAAATTGAAATTCGTTTTTCTGGGTTATGGGGAAATGGAGAGAGAAGAGGGTTTGTAGCCGACTGGGGGCTTCAAGGAAGAACAAAGAGAGGGGAGAGAGAGAGAGAGAGGAATGAGGAGAGAGAAAGAGCTTTGGTGAATCTGATGGTAATGAAAAGAGTGCTTTTCTCTGTAGGAGTAGGGTTTGAGAGAGTGGACGGTATGCCATTTGAACGCTCAAGATTGGTTTGTTTCAATGCAAGAAAGTTCAATTAACGGTCAAGATTGGTTTGTTAGTCACGTGATTTGCACGAGAGTGAAGACCATGGTGTTAGAATGAAATCTAATGTGTCTCAATATTGGTGGCCAATTATTTATTTATGTGTATGTATTTTTTTTGCATTTAATATTCTATTTTTAAAAAACGGTAAATTTCTTCTTTGAATTTCATTTTCATAATATTCTTTCGAATATTATACCAAAAAAAAGGTATCTAGTTCTTTATTTATCGACTCAATAAAAAATGATTGATTAATTTGTATAATGTCGTGTTAAGGAAATAAAGTAATTTTACTTTTTGATACATAAATCTATTTTAATCGTCCGTTACTAATTTTAACTTTTGCGAGACTTTTGATAGGATAGATTTTTTGTCCGTTACTAATTTTAATTTTAACTTTTGCGAGACTTTTGGTAGGATAGATTTATTTAATTTTAACTTTTGCGAGACTTTTGGTAGGATAGATTTATACACGTGGTGACTACGTGTGGTGAATATCTTCAAATATGATCTATTTACGTGCATGATCATATATTGTCGTATAATTATATCATATTAACAGCTTGAAAGTTAACACATTATAGTTCAATCCTCAAAGTTAAAGTTCAAAACCACCATTTGCATCTTATTAGGGGTTGCATCTTATTAGGGGTGTACATGATGTGAGTTGAAAAAAATCTTTTAGACTAACAAAAAAAATTTGGATTGATTGAGTTGGTGACTTGAACAACCTGAACCGAATTCATAACCTAACCCAACCCAACCTACTTTTTATTTTCGAGTTGAGTTGTGTAGGATTGTTTTTTTAATACTTATCTATAATACATTTTACATCAATTATAATCGTTAAATGTTCTAAATTTTCATAATAATCTTAAAAGTAGGGCCGTATCCGATTGTAATCCTATTTTCAAGCCAATCGAGTTGACCCCAATTTACAGTTTACCAAAAATTCAACCGAACCAAAGCAGAAAACATCTAACCTTACCCTATATTTATGATTTGGGTTGAGTTATCTGAACCTGTCAAGTTCGCTCTCGAGTCTTATGAACGTAGGAGAAAAGGTGTATGAATGAGAAGAAAATGACAACTAAAAAGACAAAAAAGACACTTAAAATTTGAAAAAAGAAAAAGAGAGAATAAAACTTGGCCCTGCATTCATTACAAAGCGCCAACGTTATTCTTACCTTATTCAAACTACTCTGGGGCCAAGCATTTCCTTTCCCTTCTTGTCTGGCTTTGTAACTGGACCATTCCTGAGCTTCTGCACGTACTAAATGGAGTGTTTTCTTGCTCGTTTCGGTTTATTGTAAGCATTGAAAGCAATGTCGATGAACGGTCCATCACAGTTAAAGCTATCCCCATAACTCCTCGAACATCGGATTCAAGAAGCATTTCAAGACTATAATTTCGTAAGGTAGCGATCACAACATGTGCGCAAATCGAACTATCAAACTATTTCAATGAAATGTGAGATGCAAACTTTGGATACAGAAATAAGCTTGGGTCAAATTTTGTGAAATCCCACGTTAGTTGGAGGGGGAACGAAGCACTCCTTACAAGAGTGTGAAAACTTCTCCCTAGTAGGCGCGTTTTAAAACCTTGAGGGGAAGCCCAGAACAGAAATCCCAAAAAATAATAATATTTGCTAACGGTGGACTTGGACTGTTACAAATGATATCAGAGCCAGAAATTGAGCGGTGACCAGGACACTGGCCCTTAAGGGGGTATATTTTGAGATCTCACATTGGTTGGAGAAGGGAATGAAACATTCTTTACAAGGACGAGGAAACCTCTCCTTAGTAAATGTGTTTTAAAACCTTGAAGGAAAAGCCCAACGAGGACAATATCTACCGGCGGTGGACTTGGGTTGTCACAAATTTCCTCCTAAAACATACTAAATTGGTTCTACCTCCTGTCCTTTATGAAGGAAATGAATCCTTTTTATGGATGAATCAGAAAAAATGGGTTGACACCAGGATCCTTATTTCGCTACTTTGCATTCGTAGTGTGTAGCCAAAGGAAATATATCGAGCCTAAAGTCATCCCAAGCACGGGTTACGAGGCTAAAGAACTATTTCTTTGAAAAGCAAAAACTGAGATGGGATATACCGCGATATACCACGACATAGCAACGTGGCAGTGAATGATACAAATTCTAAGGCGAACATATCGAGTTAGCCCCTACCCCAGTGATAAGGAGCTGCTAAAAGAAGTCTGGTCCACATGCCAAAGTAAACTAACCCTTTAGATTCAAATTTATGTTAACACAGATATTGAGGAACACCTTAATGTTCCTCACAACATACAGATAGACAGATGATTTAGAAACAAAAGTAACACAGCAGAAACAATTGTGCTATCCAATGGATGCCACTGTTATGCAGATAGACAGATGAAGACTTTCTTCATTCTAAACTGCAGCCAAAACCATAATCCTGCATAGCAGACACACTAACTAGGCACAGCCGAAACGATTGGTTACTTGTGCCTGATGGAGATGAATGGCAGGTCTTAGAGATAGAGAGATAAGCAGTACAGTAACCGTCCAAGTCCAAGCTCACTGCTAACAGATATTGTCTTCTTTGGACTTTCCCTTTCGAGCTTCCCCTCAAAATTTTAAAATGTGTCTTCCCCTTATAAGGAATTTTGTTCCCCTCTCCAACCAATGTGGGATCTCACAATCCACCCTTTTTGGGAGCCCAACGTCCTCGTTGGCACACCGTTTCGATGACTGAATCTGATACCATTTGTAAAAACCTAAGCCTAGCGCTAGTAGATATTGTCTTCTTATAAGGAATATTTCATTCCCCTCTCCAATCAACGTGGGATCTCACAATCTACCCTCTTTAGAGGCCAAGATCCTCATTGGCACACTGTCCGGTGACGGGCTATGATACCATTTGTAAGAGCCCAAGCCTACCACTAGCAGATATTATCCTTTTTGGAATTTCCCTCAAGGTTTTAAAACACGTTTGTTATGGAGAGTTTTTGCACACCCTTATAAGGAATGCTCGTATCCCTCTTCAACCAATGTAGATCTCACAATTTTATTCTTCATTTCTACTGCCACATGAAAGCATATAATTCGGCCAAAAATTAGCAAGAACAAGATGAGAAGCTAGTGGACATAATGAACTAGGATGTAAACTAATCTACTAAATTCTCTATTGATCAATACTTCAAAAAGAAGATTAAAAAACAGAGAAACTTACAAACATTTACTGTGGCCTAAAGCATGAATGAATAAATCATTTGTTCTTCAACATAATGACATAATGATATGAAGAATACCGTCAAGAATGTGTAGCTACACCTTCACTCCGTTTCAATCTCAGGAGCTGAGCGAATCAACACAGTCTCCTGTCCAAGCTCAGCCAACAATGGGCCACTTCCCTGGCCGATCCTGAAATTCCTGTTGCTGGACAACAAGCCAATCAAACCTAAACCCAATATCAAAACCAAAACAACATGGCCAATGAATATTAGATCCATCAAAGCAATGCCCCTCAGACCATCTTCCTCAAGATCACATTGTACAAAAGCGTCACCAGTAGCAGGCAACACCAACATTGCACGACAACCCTTCAAAGAAAATGCATCGGTATACAAAGACAAGCCAATTTGAAACAGCCATGTGCCCTTAAACGTTAAGCCAGAGGAAAGTAGAAATTCAGCGAAAAATGCAGACGGTTTCATAGATAAAAACAAGCAGGAACAAGCGCAAAGAAGGGTTAATCCTCCAGAAATGTGATACAAATCACCACCAAGACCAGTAATCCCCTTACCAATCACGGAATACTCAACAAGAAACGCAACTCCGGCGAAAACGAAGATGAAACTCTCACTTACAAGAAGAGGGTCGAGATTTTCCCGCAAAATGATGAGAATCGCAAGCGCCCAGAAGAAGAAAATGGCGACTGATTGCTGGAAAAATGCGAATCTGTAAGTAGGGTTACCGGAAAACGCGATGAAAAGGAAAATTTCGGAGAAGGCGGCGATGGGGGGGAGGAGGAGGAGGGAATATAAGTCGAAATTCTTCCATTTGGGTTCGGATAAGTACCAGATTTTTGATCGGTAAAGAGATGGGTTGTTGAGGTAAACGGAGGAAGAACCGAGGAGCCGACGAACGCCGATGGGGACGAGGAAGAGGGCGGCAGAGAGGTGGGTTGCTAGTGACGCCATTGACAAGGGCTTAGTAAGAAGCTTGCTAATGAAAAATAAAATAAATTAAATCAAACATTTAATCTTTCAATTTAGTCTTTGTAGATCTTAATTAAAATTTAACGAGATTTCATCAATAACAACTTACTATAGTCACTAGATTATTAAATTATTTCAGAATTTAAACCATAATGACTCAATTATTATGAAATACAAAATTTTTAAAAAATATAATATGAAAGACAAGGAACATTAAACATGATGGTGAATCCTCGGTCAAATGGGGAGGGATCAAGGGATTTATGTGACATATTATGTTATTAATATTAAAATTATGCTAAGGTATTTGTCAATTTTCATGCTAAGGTATGAATCTCAAATGGGGTCGTCGTCTAGTCTTCTTCACGGCGTAGATAGAGCCACGGTGATGAGATAAGCTAGCAGACAGGGCCCCTTTCCAATTCAATTCAATTGAATTCAACAAGCTCATATTCTCTCGTAATTATGGACCATAGGAAGCAATCGCATGAACAATTCCATTCAATTGGAATCACGATTCTGCTTTTGAAACAAAACGCCAAAACCCTAGCCAAGTGTGTGGCTCATAACCCCTGTCTCGATCCCCAATTTCCCTCACCCACATTTCGCCTCCATTTCACATCCAAATATCAAGCAAAGAGGCACTGAGAGGGAGAAGGAGTTGGAGCCGTACCTGATACCTGAGGAAGAAGAAGCGGAAGAAGCTGTTTCCATGGCGGCGACTTCGATCTCTGCGACTGGATTGTGCTGTTCGTCTTCTTTCATTGGAGGATGGGGATCTTCAGTGGCCGGAGAGGATTACGCGCTGCTGGCGGCGAGGCCGGCCGCGGTGCAAGTGGGAGGGGGGAAGGCGGTCAGATTCCGGCCGATGATGAAGAACGTGAATGAAGGGAAAGGGGTTTTTGCGCCGTTGGTTGTGGTTACTCGGAATATCATCGGCAAGAAGCGCTTCAATCAGCTTAGGGGCAAAGCAATTGCCTTGCATTCACAGGTATTGGTTATTCATTTTTTTTTTCCCATTAATCTCAATTTGTTTGTTTAGAAATTATTTGTTAGGCCATAAAATTTATATTACTCTAATTTGAGTAAAACTCAATATATATATTCCTTCATCAAAGTTGGAAGTTCATATCCCCAAACCCGAATCCGAAGAAAAAGCTATGCATTTGAGGATCGTATCAAAACTACACGAAGAAAAAAAATAAAAACTACTGTCAGAAATTCTTTAGAACTTCAAAAGAACTTGTAATTGTTTAAAATAATAAGGACTCTTGAACGTTGTATAAATTGTTAGGTTCATTGGCTCGTCCATGGGAATCTTTCTAGTCCTCATTCGTTGGTCTCTCTTTTCTCATTTCGTCGAACTCCCATGGACCAGACTCTTTTTAAACATTATACAAGTAGTTAGGCTCATTACCTCATGCACCGGAATCTTTCTAGTCCTCATGAGTTGCTCTCTCTTCACTTATTTTGACCTTGCTACCATGTTAGATAAACACGACTCTCCACAATAGTATAAGACTCTCCACAATAGTATAATATTGTCCACTTTGAGCATAAGCTCTCATGATTTTGCTTTGGGTTTACTCAAAAGGCCTCACACCAGTGGAAAGAGTATTCCTTGATTATAAACTCATGATCATTCCCTAAATTAGGTGGGACTTTCATCATCCAACACCTCCCCTCGAACAAAGTACACCTCCTCTTAAGCAAGGCTCGACTCCTTTGGAGTCTTAAGTCATTTTTTACTATGTATTTGAGGAGGCTTGACCCTAGACATTTGAGGATTTATCAATCTATTGGCACGATTAAGTTTAGGGCATGACTCGAACTCCACTAGGCTTCACACCATGGTGCGAAACTGTCTCGAGGTCATGAGATCACACTCATCCTCCTCCTCGCTTTTCTTTCTTCTTTTTCGAGTGAATCTCAGGACCTTTCCTGTAGATATGATTAAACAACCTCCAAAAAAAAGAGAACGATAACGATACTGAATTTCAAATCCCGAACAATCGAACTTAAACCAAACTTAACCAATATGGGTATTTTGAAAGTGATGTGAATGTGAGTTGGTGTTTGTCAGGTAATCACAGAGTTTTGCAAATCAATTGGAGCTGATGGAAAACAAAGACAAGGGCTAATCAGGCTGGCCAAGAAGAATGGAGAAAGACTTGGATTCCTTGCCTGAGATCTTCTTCTTCTTCTTCTTATGCCTTCTCCTGTTTTCTATTCCATTCAGTTCATCAGCTGTAATATCATCTATACTCAAAACACTCACTCTTTTAGTACTCACAGGAAATGCTTCATTTGTCAAAATTACACACTCCCATAACCTTGCCTCAAAATTTAGCAGCTCGACATGATCGAGTTAATGATCAGACACTGTACCGAGACGATTTCGCCGACTTTTCCCTTCTCAGATCATCCTGCAACCAACCAAAACAAATAGAGATGATGAACTGGGACGAACAGAAGAGAAAAATGTTGATAATCATAAAACTGAAGTTTACATGAAAGCTGAAGGAAATCTTGTCGGTAACGTCGATAATCTCCTTCCATTTCCTACCGATGCTCATCTGCATCGATCGGAGAGTACAGAATAAGTTAGACGGTCTTTAGAACTGAGTAAACGAAGTTCTAAGCAAACAAGAGGAGCAAAACACAACCGGTAATCCACACATCAAAAGATTCACAACAAACACTATAATTTTCGTATAAGCAGAAAACAGGACATCTCTCAGAGATTCATGAGCTGATATAAGATAAGGATCATAGTTGGCAAGATCATAGTGAACAAATGTTATGCTGAGAATTCGAAATAATTTCGGCGATGACACGGTCTCGCTACAATGTAGCTACAAAACTAACAACGACTAACCTGAGCAGCCTCATTTGCTGCTGTCTTGGTCCACAGTGCAAGCTTGTCCCGCCTCTGGCGCACACTGGCAACTACGCCACAGATCTCATCAGACTCCTCAAATTGTTCCCCAATCAATGCCATCAACTACCCAATAACGAAGGACATGAAATTTTAGACCAAATTAAAGGAAGCAATTACCACAAATCCATGCAACCAACAATGAAATTAGGTTAGTCTTTGTATACCGTTTCCAGCCACATGGTATCGAGGTTAGTCTTTCTACTGCTCGTGACAGTCCATTTTCCTCCATTAGCACACTCAGGATCTTCCCATTTCGGTTCAACTCCAGCTTTGAACAAGTGAAAATCTGCATTAGCCGGCAACTTGCTCGGCTTCAATATCTGATCGTAAAAACTGTACAAAAGCCCGGAATCACAAATCGAAGAAACAGAATATGAACAAAATCGTAGCAGAACGTCAAAGAAAAATGAAAACAGAACCAGTTTAATCATTGGCAAAGAGGGGGAGCGAAGGACGTACCACCAAAATTCTTCAACAGTGTCGAAGGTATAGACCTTGCGCAGAGAGCTGCCCCATTCAGCACCTTGCTTCGGCCTCGACTGGTTATCGAACCAAAAGGTCCATTTTCTCTCCAACATATGGGACTGCTCAATGGAATCGCCTACTTCTGTCGCCGCCGCCGCCGCCGCCGCCGCAGGACACTCCACCGCTACCTCACCGGCCATATCTTGGTCGCTGAAACGCCCCCTTTTCGTTTGGATAAATTGGGGTAGGAATAGGAATGGGAATTTTTTTCTATCAATCGACGAAGTTTTAGGCTTCAAACTTGTTAGATTCTGTAGAGACTCGGCCCAAAACTCTGGACCCAAGGCCCGTAAAATTCAAGGTTCGCGTCGATCTTATCGAAAAAGAGAGAGAGAGATAAAGAGGAATGAGAGCGGCGAAGGACAGATGGGTCGTGTCGATCTAGGCCTGCAGCAAACAAAAACGTTGGCACACCACAAAGCCACCTCAATCCCCTTCTCATCAATTTCCCTCTTTATAAAATCTCCCAAAAACTCACTTACCATCGCCACCGCCACTGCTAGCAATCTCTCCGCCATGGCTTTATCAATGGAAAACGAAGCCACCGCCACCGAGGCTCGATTTGCGCCCGTCACTCGCGAGCGAAGGGTCCGCAACGACCTCGAAACCACAATCCCCAAGCCATGTGAGCCCCCAAAACTAAACTAACTTCGTTGAAATCACAGTTTAGACAATCCCAGTTTCATAGTTTTTTTTTTTTTTGGTTATGAAATGATCAGATTTGGCGAGGGCGTTGGTAGCGCCGGACACCAGCCACCCGACGGGGACGGTGGGGCATAATCACTATGGAATGACAGTTCTTCAGCAGCATGTCGCCTTCTTCGACCAAGATGATAATGGCATCGTTTACCCTTGGGAGACTTATGTTGGTGATTATCATCACTTTTAGTCACAAAGCTTCGTAAAAACAATCCTAACAGTGTTTTGAATGTTATCTTTGAAGGGCTAAGAGCGATTGGATTCAACATGTTAGCGTCCCTAGTTATGGCAATTGTTATAAATATCGCCATGAGCTACCGTACTCAACAAGTAAGTAAATCATGGCCACTCCAAAGAAATCAAGAAGTAGATTTGATGATGTGATGAAATTTGCAGGGATGGATCCCATCACCCTTTCTCCCGATCTACATTTACAACATTCACAGAGACAAGCATGGGAGCGACACTGGAACCTACGACACTGAGGGACGGTATGTGGCGGCGAATTTTGAGAACATTTTCAGTAAGTACGCTAGAACACAGCCAGACAAGCTGTCCCTTGGTGAGCTATGGGACATGACTGAAGCCAACCGTCTAGCTTTCGATCCCTTCGGATGGTATGCATTGACTGTTCTTTCTTCTATGTCATAAGTTAATACTCTTTAGTTTCCTATCGTTCTAAGTCATTGTCATGCCATGCCCTCTTGACTCGCGCAGGGTGGCATCCAAACTCGAGTGGTTCATACTATACGTGCTGGCTAGGGATGAAGATGGCTTTCTCTCTAAAGAGGCTATAAGGAGATGTTATGATGGGAGCTTGTTTGAGTATTGTGCCAAGATGAACCTAAGTGCTCAGTCCAAGATGTATTGAGCTCAACCTCCTCATCTGTTTATTACTACTATCCAACTCAACTCATGCACAGCTAAGCTCAGCTCATGTTTCCTCTGTAAATTACTGATATATAGATTGTGCAACCAAGAAGGAACAACAGAATAAGAGCTTTGGTTGTGTTAATTTCTTTTCTTGTTTGTCTTGGCTTCTAAATGTCATCTATATGTATATATGTCTGTAGTTGAGGTATTTATATGCAACAACATGGTGTTTTGGGTGCTTCATTCTTCATCTACCCTTTCAAACAACTTCAATTTTCTTATAATTTTATGGGTCATTCGAGGGCATACGAAGTCATAAGCAGGGCATTCAAAAACATAAGGGGAAAATATTAATGATATGGTTGCTAGTAATGAATGGTTAGGCACATCTATGGCCACTCAATCAGGCAGCTTGAAAACACAAAATCATTAGATATGAAGAAGGAAATTTCTTACGAGTTCAGAATCTAATTCATTGACCCAAAAATGATCCATTAAATCTCGCATTGGAAGAGACAGTAATTTAAAGAAACCACTAGGATATCAAAAATTACGAGGTGTTATAACCACAGAATCAAGAAGAATGGAACTCTAGACGTACGCTAAACGATAGCATTGGCTGCACTTGCGATCCTAGGCCATAAATCCGCACACTCCTTTCCGATGGGGCCTGTGATTGCAGAACCTGCAACAGCAGCAACAAACGAACTTTATAACCTTGCAAGATTAAAAGACTAGGAGAATGAGCATTTTCATCTGGTGAATGGGTCATACCTTTCATTTCTCCTTTTGGGTTCACAATCACTCCAGCGTTATCTGCAGCCACAATATACATTTCGAAATCAAATACCGATGTGATATACACACGTGTATTAAAACAAAATTTCTATACGGAAAATATCAATACTAAATAGCAGAATGAGACCAAGAATGGAATTATTTTGAAATGAACAATGTTATCTCCACAAGGAGCAGAGGATATGAGCGTGAAAGCTTCCACACATCTTCAATGATGAAGACTGTCAAATTACAAGACCCATAACAGTTTCAACCATTACAACAAGGAAGGTAGCTGACTTATGCCTGGAAAATAGATGGGGTCCAAACGATGAACTTGGGTACTTTTTAATCAAATTAACAGAAAACATGTTGCTTTCGATTTTACTTTCTAAACTTGGTTTCTATTATATTAGAATATTTGGGGCCGTATTTGTGGTTATTTTAGCCCAATGAGCCGCCGCCGGTACTACATCCCATAGTGAAAAGTAAAATAAACATCTATGCAACTCAAAATTCGGATATGTTTGATATCTATTCCTCACAGAACCATATTAGAAATGGAGAATAAATGGACTGAAAACATCTATCTAGCTTCAACAGACATGTTAATCATGGGGTTCTCAGGTTCGAACAATTGCAAGCAATCACAATTCAGCAAGAAAACCAGTAATAACAAAAACCTGAAGACACAAATAAGAGTTCAAAGACAAAACGTGATAGATAGCAAACGTCAACAGGCAAATGCAAATCCAGGTCAAGTTCGAACATGTGTACCATAGTGCTCTCAAACAAGTAAATTTGGAGCCTATCAAGAGAAACATATGTATTATATACCTTCGAAGTACATGAAAACCCCATCCTTTCGCCGCCATGGCTTGCGCTGCCTGACAATGACAGCTGGAAGAACCTTTTTCCTGAGATCGGGCTTTCCCTTCTTGACAGTGGCCATCACCATATCTCCAACACAAGCCGATGGCAATCTGTTCAAACGCCCCTTGATACCCTTCACTGAGATGATGTACAGGTTCTTAGCTCCAGTGTTGTCAGCACAATTCACCGTCGCTGCCACCGGTAGACCAAGTGACATCCTAAACTTGTTACCTGCAGATCCTCCGCGCCCTGCACCAACAAGAAGCAGATCGATCATACACATTCCAGAGTTCACACATGGCAAATCGATCACTCCTCCACTAGTAAATTGTGGATTCGATACAGATTCAATAAAAAGCCCCCAAAAATGGGTACTTCCAAAGCAAATGAAACAAGAACATGATTTTCCGGCGAGAAAAGAACACAGGAAGAACGTAAACGAAACCTAAACCCAAAATCTAGATGGTGAAACTGCGAAGAACGAAGAGGAGAGGCACAAGGGTTCGCTTACCTCGCTTCGACATTTTCGCCGGCTGAAACGAGAATCTGGGAGGAACTTAAGATCTTTCATGGCCATTTATATACAGATGGGACCTAGGGTTTGTTTACGGCCAAAAATTCGAATAAAATTACAATTAATTTTAAATTCGGCTAAATTATGATTTTTGTGTTTTTTTTTTCTTTTTAATTAAAATTTAAAATTGAATATATAATTTTATTTATAGCAATTTTACTTCTTTTATTTTAATTATTTTATCTCCAACCCAGAAGGAATGCATGAGAGCTTATGTTCATAGTAGACAATATCATATCATGTGGAGGTTCGTGGTTCCTAACACATAGGTCACTATGAAAAGGGTTTGTTGTAATCGAGTCAAGATAGTAAAATCTCGTGTTTAACTAACGGTAGATATCCATTTTGCAATCCGAGCATGATTTAGTTGATAAAATAACTACTACCTCAAAAGTCAATAATTCATTCGTTCATGCTTGTTTTGTCAAGTTTTACCATTATGGAGGTTCGTGGTTCTTAACACATGGGTCAGTGTGAAAAGCGTTTATTGTAACTGAGTCGAAATTGTAAAACCTTGATGTTTAACTAACCGTAGATTATTCATTTTACCATCCGAACATTGAAACCTTAAAAGAAACAAAATCGAGACCAACTTTATAATTAAATTTGGAGATATAAATATAATTTATTGCAACTTTGAGGGCACAAACCCCTAACATGTACAAATCAAGGATTTTGAATTTGTTGATGGAAATATCTACAAATTGAAAAGTTTCTAATTGCTAGGTGGGGCCTCACTCAGAACTTATTTCTATTTACGACCCTTCTTTTTCACTATTTCTTTCTCTACCACATATCTCTTCATATTTGTATTTGGGTCCTGCAAAATTGTAGTTTCTTTCTCTTTTTCTTTCAAAATTTATTTTTAATTACCAACTTAAAAAAAAAAAAGAATAAATAAATAAAATCAAATCCAAGACTGGATTGGATAGCTGCGTTTCAACGAGTTCACTCCACTGATATGAGCAAATATGTCTGAAGAATCAACCATGCTATCTTCTTCCTTCACAACTACCTGCAAAACAACGGCCGTTGGTCGGGTTTATAAGTAAAGGAATACATCTTCGTTGGAATGAGGCCGTTCGGGGAAGCCCAAAGCAACTGCCCGAGAGCTTATGCTTAAAGTGGACAATATCGTACCATTGTAGAGAGTCGTGACTTTTGAAAAGTTGGCTTAGAGAGAAGCTTTACCTCTTCTTCTTCTTCTTCGTGGATGCTACAAGCAGCCCTGTGATTCTCCGTCAATTCGTCGTTCTTGGCGAACCGTCCCCGAACCCGTGGGCGGCTATCTGCTAGCGTTTTTCGGCAGGCGTACTGTTAATTTGCCTCCATCATTAGCGACGTCTCGAGTTTGAATATAAAGAGGGGAGGGGGAGAGATGGAGAGGAAAAAAGACCTTGATTTTCTTGCTGAAGTTCCTCTCGTTTCTTTTCTTCATGTACCTATGAATCTTCTGCTTCCTCTCTTCCACAGAGAGTTTGCCAACTTTGAAAGTACTGTCCTTCAAGCTTGAGAGATCTGATGCTAATGAAGTGCAGTTCATTGCCCCAGCAGCCAGTTGCAGATTCTCATCGCTAAGTACCTTCTATATACAACAAAAACGTAGCGTGATCGTGAGTCGAATCGTTTAGTTTGTCGTTTTCGAAGACGTGTTATGTTCGAAAAGACTTTAGTTAGTTAAGTACCTGAAGATCTGCTGGATTGAAAGTCCCCTGCATATAGTCTTGGCTGTAGAGTCCACAGTTGTCTCCTTGATAGTCAAGGTCTTGTGGTTGCAATTCTGCGCTGAGGAGCGGGAACATACCGCAATTTTCGACCGACGACGACGATGCAGTGAGGTTCATTGGTGGCGTAGGCAGGTAAGTTGGCATGGTTGCTCCGACGAACGAGCACGAAGGGGAGGAAGGATTCAATGGCATGTAGGAAGTGAAGGAAGACAAGCAATCGTCGACGTAAATCGAAGGTAGATCTTCGTCGATGAGAGTTCCTGGAGCCATAGGACACTGCAGAAGCCCATCAATCATGGGATCTAGTAATGGCATCTGAGACTGCACTTGAGAAATGTCGAACTGCCCCGACTGGATGGTGAGATATTGAGCGATTGAAAACGAATCCGATGGAGAGAAGTCTATGGAAGCAGAGATATCATTGTCAAGTTCTTCTTGGCAATCAAAGATAGTAGTCAAATTACTGTTGGTCGTAATGTTCGTTGTAGCCGATGCATCGTTAGCTGGTACGAACGATGGAGCAGCAACGACCGTATTGCCATTTTCATTGCCGTTGTTATCTGCTTGATCTGGGGAATGAGGCAGATTTGTAGCATATGATGAATTATTGTCGTAATAACAATTCGAGTAAGAATTGAACTCCTCGGAGTTTTGAAGCATCTCTGAGAACAACTCGGAATCACAAAAATCATATATTTGAGCGTTGATTGGACTCGAGATTTCTTCCTGAAAACACAATATCAAACACCAACATCAACTTCTACGACATGATTATGCATACATAAACCAAAAACGAAACGGGACTAAACAGGAACAAGAGCCAGTTCTTATAGATCAAGAAGAACAAATCTACTTCTACTAAACAAGAACAAGAGGCGGTTCTTATAGATCGAGAAGAACGAATCTACATCTACCGATATTCCCTTCGGCACGACCACACAAAAATCAACCTTCATTTCGAACAAGCAAGAATCACCATTCTTCATATTCACAACTAGAAGATGGACGAAAGGTGACTAAACAGGAACAAGGGGTGTTTCTTATAGATTGAGAAGAACGAATCTACTTCTACCCTTAGGCACGACTACACCAAAATCAACCTTCCTTTCGAACAAGCAAATCAACCTTCCTTTCGAACAAGCAAGACGCACCATTCTTCATATCCACAACATGAAGATTGGAATCATAAAAACAACACAAACAAGCACATAAATCCCCTCTTCTTCTCAAATATGCAGCTCAGTAAAAGAAGCAGAAGAACAGTGTGAAACAATCTAAACCAACCAGAATGGTCTCTAATGCTCCATTTTTGTTGTGCAAAGCTGAAAAAGACGTGCATTTATGCTCATGTGCTCTGTGGGAGTGCAAAAAAGAAAAGCAAGAAGCTAATGGAGTACAAAATTTGCTTGAATTAGTGGTAAAAACTTCCCAGATTGGACAAACAAACAGAATTTAAAAATCAAATCCATGTGAGATGCTCATCAACCACGATATCTTGAATAAGAATCCAACCCAGAAATGTTCTAACAACAAGATTTCTCAAGAAAAAGAATTCAAACCCATTTTTCAAGCACAAAAAACTAAAAATGGCAGCTGGGAATTTCATCAAATACCTTATGGGCATTCATCAAAATGGTAACTCAATATCAAACCCGTTGATTCAAACACTCATGAATATCATAAAATAAACACTAAAGAGTAAAATGCTTACAGTGGGAAGCATTTGCTCCGATTCGGAACCGCTGCCGCCGACGATCACCTCGTGCAACATAACTCAACGATAATTAACAAAACGGGTCGTCTTAAACTTAAAGAGAAGGGAAGAACAATGGATTCTGGAGCAGCAAAGATGAAGTTTCAGTGGAATTGCAACAAAGCTCCATGCGAAGCCAAACAGAGAAAAACAGAGGCAGAGATTTTATAGAGAAAAGAAAAACAGAGACAGAGAAAGGGAAATTTGTTCGTCTTGTTTCTGTGTCTGAGTGAGTTTTTTTTTTTTTTTTTTTTCTGGA